CTGTAAATACAGTACACATAAAAACCATTTTAACTACACAACAGAGGAGAAAAAACATCAAAACCATGAGTTCATAACTACATATACACACACACACATTCATCTCTATATGCAAACCGAAAATCACTCAATGCGTGATTGTAATATGATTCCGATTTGTGCAGATTGCGTATAAAGTACAAGAAATCCGACGATAAGAACTTACAAAGCGAATAGCTCAGTAAGTCCCGACCCGTCGTTATTGTCACCATTTTGCTCCTCTCAAACATCTTTACAAGAATGATCATCTCACGTGTCCCACTTTTGTCTTTAGCTCATCCAATGAACTGATCTTCATCCACTATGGCCTCTCCTACAATTGTGTGTGAAAGAGAATTTATTTGAAAAAAAAAAAAAAAATTATAACACCACGGCTCAAGAAAGAAAATGCACAAAATAGAGGAATATTAAAAATTTCTTGAATTTGGCTTTTAGGTCTAAGTCGTAGGGCTACAAACGAGTCGAGTCGAGACGAACATGGCCCTGTCGAGCGTAGATGGAACTTTTTTCTTCATTGCTAGAGCTCGACGAGCCATGTAAAATACTGCTCGACTCGACTCGTGAAAAGAATAAGAAAGCTTGAAATCGACTTGATGCTTAACATCGCTCGAGTACGACTCGAAATTTAAACAACTGAATTTTAAATATAAAAGTTTTATTTATAATCTAAAAAGACATTTTACCCTTGGTATTCTAATATTGATAATTAAAATATATTGAGTATTTATATACATAAAAAGTCGAGCGGCTCGTCGAGCGTACGAGCCTCTAAAAATGATGCTCGAGGCTTGATTCGTTTGCTCGATTGAATTGCTTGAGCTTGACATACGCTAGGTGAAGTGAGACAAAAATTCTCAGTGTGATGTGTGGTAAGAGTTTTCAATAATATTTTGATGCACGCTTTGAAACAATATCAATTCTTAAATCATTAATGTTATGTTATACAGTATCGCACTTTGAAAGTTTTAGATTACTAATAAAATAAGAAGACATTTTGCAAGTGCAATATATCAGTGAAACAAAACGGAGATTTAACTCAATAATGAAGCAGAAATCAACATATGCGGTAGCAAAGAAGCTTAGCTTTAGAACGAGTTGGTTCGACCTAGGCTCTTCTTATAACTCACAACAATATAGGCCTTTAGCCTCGGTTGAGCCGAAGCTCCAGTATGAACTATGCAGTCTCAAACCAACTTTACATCTGATATGGGCTCAACAATTCCTTAGCTATGGGCTTTTTCCCGAAGAATGGCATAATCGTAATTATACCCCAATACTACAACCAGTTGCTTTAGAACACTCCGTCCTCCATCCTCAGCTGTGAAAATAGGCAACAATGGTAGCCTTACTGAGAACTGCAGCCACACTGCTCGATTCTGAGCTTGGTCTAATTGCCCAAAACAGTCAAGTCAATAAATGGCATGAGTTGTTGCATAAGTTCACATCAGATCTAATCAATAGCATAAGAGAATCGCTTGGTGTACAATGAAAACGATATTTTATATTTTTCTAGAAGTAGAAATTTCATGCATATTGTATGCTGTGAGCGCGACGTCCCACTGTAAATACAGTACACATAAAAACCATTTTAACTACACAATAGAGGAGAAAAACATCAAAACCACGAGTTCATAACCACATATATATACACATATTCATCTAAATGTGTAAACCGAAATCACTCGATGAGTGATCCTAATCTGATTCCGATTTATGCAGGTTGTGTAGAATGTACAAGGAAGCTGAGGACAAGAATATACAAACGGAATAGCTCAACAAGTCCACACCCGTCGTTATTGTTACCATTTTGCTCCTCTCAAACATCTTTACAAGAAGGATCATCACAATAACGTGTCCGACTTTTGTCTTTAGCTCATCCAATGAACTGATCTTCATCCACTTTGGCCTCTCCTACAATTTTGTGTGAAAGAGAACTTGATGAAAAAAAAAATTATAACCACACGATCAAGAAATAATATACACAAAATAAACGGATATTAAAATTTTCTTGATATTTGCTTTTAGGTCTAAGTCGTAAGGCTGTAAAACGAGTCGAGTCGAGCATGGACGTTATCGAGCGCATATCTAACTTTTTCCTTCACTGCTCGAGCTCGGCGAGCCATGTAAAATGTTGCTCGACTCAACTCATGAAAAAAAATAAGAATGCTTCAGATTGACCCGATGCTCAATATGGCTCGAATTCGGCTCAAAAATTTTAACAACTAAATTTTAAATAAAAAGGTTTTTTTTTTAATCTAAATAGACAATTTTGCCCTTATTGTTCTAATGTTGATAATTAAATTATATGGAGTATTTATGTAAATAAAAAGTCGAGCGGCTCGTCGAGCTAACGAGCCTCTTGAAATGATGCTCGAGGCTCGATTGAATTGCTCGTGCTCGACTTGAGCTCGAGTTTGACCGAGCTCATGTCGAGCATTGACTTGAGCGCTCATGAGTCGCTCGACTCGTTTGCACCCTTCTAAGGTATGTATGAAAGGCTTACAAATAGATTAAATTTGAGATTTTGCAGATTTTTCTGTATACGAAATTACGAATATAAGATGTGTCAGAAAAGGGTGAAAATACCTTAAGAGCAAACATGCCAAATAAGGAAGAGCCCTTGAGTGCACGATCGATTGATGGGGGTACATTGGGAGGCACATTTGAAATAAACAATCCGTACAAGCCCATGCCAAATATTAACATGACAGTCCCAGCAAGATATACATCTGAATTAAGAGAAAAATTTTAAATATCCCGCAGAAAAAAAAAAAAAAAAA